ACTTTCTGGTGCCCAGTTTGCATCCTATCATCTTCCATCTTCAAGCGTCTTTCAATCTCCGCCACCTCTGGGGATAGCTGGTTCAGATTCACCATGTTTACTTCGAACTTGGGACCTTCCCCGTTCTCCAGCTCTTCGAATCTGACTCTAAGACCCTCAGTAGTCTTAGATTTGACAACTTTGGGCCTGCCCCTAGTTTTGTTAACTTCAAACATCGGACCTTCAGCAATTTCCAGTTCCTCAAATTTGGCTCTAAGACCCTCAGTAATCTTAGGTTCGTCAGCAGTTTTGGTATTACCATCAGTAGCATTCCCTTTGAACTTGGCTATGAGACCCCCAACAGTCTCCAACCCACGATCCTCTTTAGATACTTTGTCGAGTTGAACTTCTTCTATTTCAACAGTGTCCACCATGTTGATATCCACAGGTTATGCAAAATTTGTCTCAGCAACCTGAAGAGGATCCGCGTCGACCTTCATCTTAGGCTTCTCTCTAAACTTCAACCTTCCTTCCTTGATTGCACTCTGTATCAAATCCCTGAAAAGATAGCATTGTGAGGTTTTATGGCCTAAAAAATTATGATATTTACAAAAACCCCTTTTCTTCCGTTGTTCTAACGGAGGAATTTTAGCGCCAGGGGCACTATCATCTGGCCATCTTTTACTAATAAGTCAAATATTTCATCACACTTGGTGATGTCGAAGGTATAGGCTTCCTTTGGGAATTTTCCATTCCTTTCTGGTTCGACGGGATTCTTCCCGTTCGCAGGTGCTAGCCCTTTGCAAGGATAAGGTGGTCCTTGCTTTAATTCTGCTAGATCTATTTCATGCTCTTCGACCTCTGATGAGTCATCTTCGACATCTCTTTCATCTGAGCATGCTTTGACATAAGCCACTTTTTCTTTCTTGTGGATTTTATTAGCCCTTGCTTTTTCAATCTTTAAACGCTCCACTTGTCGAACCCTGTCGGCCAGTTGTGCCATGTCTCTTAGATATTGGGGGTCTAACTTCTTTCTGATAGAGAAGTTCAATCCTCTTGTTCCCATTTCTACCAACTCGTGTTTAGGCACTTGTGTGAAACACTTCTCCTTTAACAGACGGAACCTGTTAAGATAATCATCTATAGGCTCGCTGGATTTGCGTTTAACATTTGCCAATTCGCTTAGGCTGATTTTGGATTGACCTACATAAAATTGTTCATGAAATAATCTCTCCAAACGAGTCCAATCATGGATGAAATTTGCTGCAAGAGTTGTAAACCAAGTAAAAGTGTTTTTGGTTAGTGAACTAGGGAAATATTTAATCCTTAAATTTTAATTTTTTGCTATATCCCATGCTTCTGTAAAATATCTAGCCACATGTTCTATGGTTGACTCACTGGTGTCACCGGAGAACTTTGTGAATTTTGGCACTTTCCTTCCCCTAGGTAACTTAGTTTGCTGAATATACTCAGACAAAGAGGATATATAGTTTGGCCTTCGCATGCCAATATTTACTCCATTATGTGCCATTATCCTTTCAACTATGGCTTCCAGATTATTGTTTCCTACCATATCATCTTGTCGACACCCTTGGAGAATTTCGTCAGCGTCTTGGTTCCGATTCACCATGACCATCCTTCTTTGTGGTTCCTCCCTGGGGATAGCCTGTTGAAACCTATGTGGTTCTTCCCTTTGAACTGGTTGTTGGATTTCAACTTCTGGGTGTATCACTGGTTGGGCTCGGTCAATGGTTGGCTCCTCTTGAAATAGTATGCCTTGATTCTCCCTTGTCCATGTGGGTTGTGGTTGTCGAGTTGATTCTCTAGGTGCACCAAAAAAATCTGCAAGGCGCCCAATTTGCGTTGCCATCTGTTGGTTTGCTTGGGCATTTTGCATATTCGTCTGTGTGATAATTTAGATTAGGGGTTAAATATTGTACTCATTTGCTAGGAGAGTATTCCCACCATTTCGTGGTTACTATCATCCATATTTTGCCTTAAAACTGCCTGCGTATTTGTGGTAATAGGAGGCAATTGGGCCACATTTCCTTGTTGTGAATAGTTTCGTTCCATATGATTTACCCCTGAACCTGATCCTTGTAATGGTGAGAAAGAAGATGTTAAAGGGCGTGTGTATGTCGAATTGTTATTTTGAAGTTCTGTCATGGATGTAGTTGGCATGCCATATATTGGATCTGATGTTGGGATTATGAATCCTGGTACATAGGTTCTAGAGACACTTCCTACTAAAGGTCTGGGGGGAAACAGGCAGATTTTGGCTAGCTACAAATGTTACAAAAGGTTCATTTTGTGCGTTTGACAAAACACTTGTATTTGGGGGTATGGTTGTAGCGTTCGTAGTCGAAGGGATAATCGTAGTCCCTTGACTTGTCGTCGTGGCTTCGGTCGTATTCGAAGCATTTGTATTCCCTCCCATGGGGGGAGGAACTTGTTGCGCACTGCTAACGGGTGGGTTAGCCATTCTCCTATTGTTCTGATTTTTTGTTCTAGGATCTGTGGTATTGGCTATTTTTCTACTCCTTAATTTAATGCAATGAAACAAGTTAAACAACAACTGAAAACTAGACACAGGGTCCCACTGGGTGTGCCAATTTGTTTACCCTGTAATTTGGTAAACAACCACTGATCTTCTAAATCTCTAAAAGAAGATTCAGTTACTTGCGAGATCGATCAGATTGATCTCAGGACTATTGTGTTCTAGTTTTTAGGAAAAAGATTTTGATGACAACTTCTTTAAATGAAGAGAATCACTTTGATATCAAATAACGTGTTTTTATAATAACAATGAAATAGGAAACTATTCTAGACTGTAAATCATAAAGAATATAAATGACATGAAGAAATTTCATTAAATGTAAATAACTTTCGAATATAAATATGGTGCATCATACGTACATGTCTGACTAACTCATTTCTCTAACACTGGTACTTTGAGTATTTGAGTATATTGTACAAAGATGTGAACACCCTGAATCCTAACATCTAAGACTCCTATTTATATTAATTCGATCCTAACGGTCTTTCTATGAGATTACGCCACGTTCGACACCTTTTACATGCAGACATCCTGGCATTTTCACACGTCTTTCTGGCGAAATGCATTAGTTTGAAATTCAAACTTCCCGCTCGAAGCTTTTTTAAATTCAATTTTGAATTCAACCAACGTGACTGTCGAAGTAGTTCACATATCTTGAAATATTATTTTCACTTTAAGTTGCCCTTCGACATGTCGAATCATAAAAAAATGAGATTTATAAAATAACCTTATAAGGTCAAGTTTCATGTTATTTTTAAAACATGATCTTCTTAAATCAACTTTCATATTTTTATCAAATGTCGAAATCTTCAGCTAACACTATTCCAACATTTCGTCGACACACCTCTTAACTGGCTCCTTGACTTAGAAAAACACTAAGTCTCTTTTGATAACTGATAACCTTGTCGACGCGACCATCTTGTTGAGACAAACCTTTTTCAAATGTCCTTTTCGAGATTTTGGATATGTTTAGAGGAAAGAGTGATCTTAATCTTGTGGGTTTGTTGTTGTGATTCTTCCCAACCGTGCCTATCATGTTGGTCGAACTTCTTAGTCGCGGGACTATTTCTATCGAAACTTGTTAATGAATGCTTTCAACACTTAGCGTTTCTCAATGCATTATTCTTCATTGACTTCCTTTAGCTGGAATTTCCAAGCTAACAATTGTCTCCATGGGGAGGTTTTATTATAGTGATCTGGATCTGGATCGGATGAGATCTGATCTTGGAATTTTGCAAGAATCAGTGACTGTTTTCATAGACAACACCACTGTTTTAGATCAGAATCAAAATTATACTTGAATTGTGACATTGGACTCCTGATGTAGTGTTGCAAGTCTTTGATGTGTATGGAGGTGGACTTGCAAAATTAGCACTCTAATACTCAAGTCACATAATGAATAAAAAAAATAGAGTAAACAATGCGAAAAATATAAATGTACCTTAGGTCTCACACACGCATAACTATTTATCCTTGGATCGAGATGGATGTTAAACCATATTTAAAACACTATTGAACCTCTCCTTATTAAGTTATCGGTTGGCCCAAAACACTAATGTTGTGAAATAAAAATACAAGTGAAATGTAAAATGTGAGAACTTCATTCTACTCTCTTTCTCAAGTCTCAACCATCAAACATGGCTGAAAAATAGGATAATTTCAATTTTGTACTTCACCCTCACGAGTGATGCCTTTATGCCCACGATGAGTGTGACGTCTACAAAGTGAAAAAGCTTGAAAAAGGATTTTATCACAAGGAAAAGTTGATTTTCTTCTCTAGCCCACTAAACAATTATGCTCATTTTTCACACACTCTGTCCAACTTGCATTAATATTCCCCAATCAGAATAACAGGTAATCTATATCTTCTATACATAAAAATGATATCAAATTTTGATATAGACATTTCATTAAATTATTATGAAGAAATTGTTTATATATAAACGCTGGCAATATGTACAAGTGGATCAGTAGTTGGCACAAGTGATACAAAAATAAATAAATAAATAAATAAATACTAATCATGTTGGTTTAAGATAAGAGAATAATATTTATACATTTTCAATGTAAAATTTTTTATACTATAATTGAATAAAAAAATTTATACTATAGTTGGCACAAGTGATATACAAAAAAAAAAATAAATAAATAAATACTAATCATGTTGGTTTAAGATAAGAGAATAATATTTATACATTTTCAATGTAAAATTTTTTATACTATAATTGAATAAAAATTTTTAAAATAAAAATAAAATATAATTAAATATATGATTGTGATTGATTCATCATATAAAACTATTTTATACTATCATTGCATCACTTTATTTCTTTTAAGATAATTAATATTTTTTAAGAATTTGTTCTACTATTTCATATGTCTGTATCCACCAAATTATTTTGACATATATAGAACCTGTTTAAAAAGTTGACTCAACCATTCATGTTCTAAATTTTTCTCTCCAATGGCTCTTCATTATTTTAGAATTCTTATGATATTACTCTCATTCAAAATCACCATATCATATAAAATCCAAGCATCATTTGTTTTTGGAGATTCTTTACTTGATGTTGGAAACAACAATTACATTACTTCACTTGCCAAAGCAAATAATTACCCTTATGGAATTGATTTTGGCAAACCAACAGGTCGTTTTTGCAATGGAAGAACCGTTGTGGATGTTATAGGTAAGAGTTTATTTTCGATTCTTTCATTTTTATTAATCTTATGATGATGAATTATTAATGTAAAATTTCTCTAACTTTGAATTATTACTAGAGCAAAAATTGGGTCTAGGGTTTACTCCTCCTTACTTGTCTCCTAATACTTCTGGAATGGTGATTCTAAAAGGTGTTAATTATGCTTCTGCTGCAGCTGGAATTCTCAATTACACTGGTCATGTTTTTGTAAGTTTTTTTTGTTTGTTTTCTAGTTTCTAAGTTCAATTATTGAGGTATCAAAATTCTATAAAAAACAGCTTTTGAATAGTATAATAATAGCTTTTGAATAGTATAATAATAGTAATAGTGTTCTTGCGGAAGAATTTTGTCGCTTGAGTGATTAGTCTTTATAGTTGCGCGCAGAGAATTTCTGATTTATATTTAAAAAACAATGAAATAAAAGATTCGATCATGTCATTGATAGGTTGGTCGAATTAACTTCGACGCACAGATTGATAACTTTGCAAATACAAGACAAGAAATCATAACAAAAATTGGTGTTCCTGCAGCTCTCAAATTGCTTAACAATGCTCTCTTCACGGTAGCGTTTGGTTCAAATGATTTCCTTGATAATTATTTGTCACCTCCACCAATTCCAAATTTTCAGTTTTTGTCTCCACAATCATTTGTGGCCATCATGATATCAACTTTCAGAGTACAATTAACTGTAATTTCCCTAACAACCTCAAAAAATTCATATAAGAACATGTGTATTTTCTTTGTTAATTGTTTGCATAATAGTAATATAGTACAACTATTTGCAGAGGTTGTTCAATCTTGGAGCAAGAAAGATTCTTGTGGTAAATGTTGGGCCTATTGGGTGTATACCATATATTAGAGATTCAAACCCATTTTCTGGAGACAAATGTGTCACATTCCCTAATCAACTAGCTCACTTATTTAACACTCAATTGAAAACCCTTGTTGAAGAATTGAGAACAATTTTGAAAGGTTCATTATTTGTTTATGGAGATGCTTACCACATTATGGAAGATATCAGGATGAATTACTCTAAATATGGTAGGGTTAGTTCATTATTTATTTGAAGTATTCAAATACTCGTTGTCTTTTTTTATTAATAACTATAGTTGTTTTAATGTGTTATATAGGTTTCAAGAATCCAAATTCTGCATGTTGTCACCTAGTTGGTCGATTTGGAGGGGTGATTGCATGTGGTGGTTATTCAATAGTTTGTGAAGATAGATCAAAGTATATTTTTTGGGATACTTTTCATCCTAGCGATGCTGCCAATGTTATCATTGCTAAACGTTTATTAAATGGTGATATTAATGATGTTTCGCCTACTAATGTTTGGCAACTCTTGCAAGGTTGAGATGCTTTTATGACAAACTAAGGAGAATTCCCTTATAGTGTAATGTTTCATTAAGATGCATTAACTGTTTTTTTCCTTTCCTTTTTTTGATTGGAGAGAAGAAAAAAGGAACATTTTATTTGAATGAGACACACCACAACTTTTAGTACACTCACACTCTCCTCAAGCAAATGATTAACTACATCTCATAACATTTTAATACAATTGAGTCTTTGCCCTTTAAATATTTGGGGATTTCTGTTGGAGCTTAATACAATTGAGTCTTTTCCCTTTAAATATTTGGGGATTTCTGTTAGAGCTATCGCCAACCGAGAAGTTACATGGGACCCTCTGTTTAATTTGTTGTTTAAGAGGTTTAATTATTTGAAGCATAGGTATGTTAGTTTAGGGGGTTGAGTGGTTCTGCTTAATCTCTACTTAGTGTTATCCATATTTTCTTTTTGTTTTTTCTGAAAATACTTGTAAAGGTTTGGAGGAAAATAGTTCAGATTCAAAAAATGTTTTTGTGGTTGCGTTAAGGGTGAATCTAAATTTTTTTGGATTAGTTGGGTCGATGTGTGTAATCCTAAGAGTAAAGGTGGCTTGGGGTAGAGATCTACGTCTGATTAACTTAGCTCTTTTGGAGATGGCACCTTATCTCAGGTGCCTCAGGTCTTTGGAGAGATATCCTTGTTGCTCACTGTGGTGCTTATATTGTCTCTGCTTTAAGGAGCGATAGAGATTCGTGCTTTCAGAATCTCTCCTCCTAGTGGAAAGAAGTTTTCCTTCTTGGTTCTAAGAAGGAAGATCACTTTGACTAGATTGAAGATGGCATCTCTAGGAAGGTTGGATCAGGGTTGCAGACATCTATTTAGTTCAACCCTTGGATTGGGAGTATACCTCTTAAAGACAAATTCCTTAGGTTGTATATAATCACTAATTATTCTGAAGGAAGTGTGATAGAGGTTGGCAGGTGGGTAGATGGACCATCATTTGCGACTTTAGGTGTAGGAAACTTTCTTCGTTCATGAGGAACCAGCTGTTGAATTCCTCTCGGTCATTTGAGGGATATTTTTTCTTTAGACAGAGGTAAGTGGATTTGGAAAATTGCTAGGATGGTACTTTATAGGTGTCCTCTACTTATCATTGTCGGCATTCCTCCTCCACAAACAATTTGTCTCTTCCCCACATTTGGGATAAATAGTGTCGCGCTGCGAAAAAAATATAGAGTCGCCATCGAACTCTATTTATCCAGAAGGAAGGAAAGATATCGAGAGAACCCCAAAGAAATGGATAAGATGGTCTTGCGACCAAGAGAAAGGGTACATAAATCAGTTACGCGAGAGGAAGGTATTAGTACCTCACGTGTCTGTGGTAAGTTTGCTCTAATCTAAGGGTGTGTAAAAATCTATGTCTAAAGCTTAATGCTAAGAGGAAATGCATGTGAAAGAAAATACAGGGAAAAGAAGGAATATTTACAAAGTTTTGCTCACCTAGACCCTGCGACCTAATGCATATGTATCCCTTTCGAGGAATCAGAGCGTCGTAGTTCGGCTCACATGTTTCAGTTTGTTGTATGTTTTTTACATTGAAAAGGGATTTTAAAATAAAATCCAAACGGCAAAATGAAGTTTGAATTGGTTGGTGTTTTTTACCTTGAAAAAGGATTTTTGTAGGTTTATAGTTTTTTGAAGTTGAAAGAAAAAAAAAGAAGTTTTAGTTTTAATGCAAATGCAAAAGAGAAAGAAAAAGGCCTAAGGGGGACTAGCAAAGTAAGCCTAGAGTTGTCACGCAAAGTTGATCTTATAGTTAAGGATGAAAGGGATATCTACCTAGTGTTTGTATGCATGGTTTGCAACCTAAGGTCTATCTCGATTCGCTTCCTAAGATTAAATCAAGAAATCCTACGGGAGCATGTAATCGTGCAATATAAGTAAACACACAAAGCTTGAGGAGTGTCCACTCATTCAAGTAGCACGCGCCTAACCAAGGTATCATGTCACCAAGGAAGGATAGGAAGAGGGATCACGCCTAACCACGATATTGTATCATCGAGGTAGGACAAGGGAGATGGGGCACCTAACCATTATATTAGATCATCAAGGTAGCATAAAGGGAGGCTTAACCAAGATATCGAATCAACGAGGTAAGCAAGAATGGGGGAGTAGGTAGTTCTTAGCCATGATACTACGTCATTGTGGCAAGAAGAATAAGGGGTGTCAACTCTTAACCAAGATATCACATTATCTAGGCAAGAGAAGAACAAGAGTGAATCTTCATAGGCGACTAAACACCTAACCAAGATATTGCATCATCGAGGTAGGAGATAGAAGGCAATAATGAGATCATATTGAAGCGTCAACATGCACGGCACGTGAGCTAATGACAAAGCGTGAGGATTAATTATGAACCTTCTCCACTTGACTGACTCGATACCAAGAATACCACGATTCATAGCATCGACGTACGACGAGAGCTATGAATGACTTGTGGACTAGAAATTTTGGGGGTCGACCGCATACCCTTTTCCACTTGCCTTCTTTGAGGACTTATCAATGGGGAATGGCAATGGGACACCTTCATTGAGGTCTTTGGCACAAATTTAAACACGCAGAATGGTAAACAAACAAGCACAAGTAGGAATTGTCTTCTAAAGGTCTTTTAAAACAGCATTGCCCACCTAAAGTAGGGACTCTCAATCATGCATCTTTAGTCCTACTTCTCATGGCAAAGAAAGCGGTAAATGATGCAAGAGATAAAAGTAAACAGAAGAGAATACCAATTGAATACAAGTTCGTCAATTATCATACGGAAGCAAAAAAACCCGAAAACTTCGTGCAAGCTTCACCAAGCAACAGAGAAACAGTCAGACACAATATCCAATATCAGAATCAATATGGAAAATGAGAAAATAAATCACATGCGGAAAGTCCATCACATTGAATCAAAGTCTCTGCACAATATAAGTCTATACAACAAGACAATAATCCAAATGTCGTGCCTCACACTCTAAAGCCTTCAGAAACTTACACAAGTCACAAGCGAGTTAGAAAATAACAACACAACATCAAGTATCAAATTACAACTCAAAATAATGATGAAAGGTGAAGAAACAAAGTACGAATAAGAAACGGAAGGTGAAAACCAAAAGTCGGGCAGCAACGCGCTTATATAAGGAATTAACCAGTAAAATGCATCGGAAGCGGGAAAACTCATCACTAATGCTCATGTAATGCTCAATTATGTACAAGCAAACATTAAATGACAATTAAAGCAATATGTATGTGTGAAATAAGGTTCTGGACAGCATTATGTACAAACATGAAATTAATCAGAAACTTGTATTGAAATCAAGAAAACTCAATATTAATGCTCATGAAACGATCAACTAAGCACAAGTAAACATCAAAATGCAAATCGAAATGACATGTACACATGAACATGAATTCCGGAAAGCATGTTATTGCACATGAGATGCTCAAAAATATCAATTTAAAATCCACTGAAAGTGACACAAATATCAAACAAACGTCAAGTGATAACAAAACACACTTCGGTACAAATTAAACCACATTTTTAGTGCACTTTTATTTCTGGGACAACACCACATCAATCCACAAAATTTCTAGAAAACATGAATTAAAATCAATAAAAATCAATGACAATAGTCAACAAATGACCAATTATGAGTGAACATGTACCGAATGCAAAATGAAACTCAAATTACAAGCTACTTGCATACTCCGGGCTGCAACCCATTAACTTATGAAGTAGCTTGGAAAATCGAATTTAAATCATTGAAACTTCACACCAGTATCACACAATAACCAAAACGATGTCGATTATGTGTGAAACAACAATTAAAGCGCTAATTACAATGTATTTGAGTATTCCGGAAAGCATTACTCATGAGTCGATGAACATCAAGAATTGAATTTTAAAACTTCATTCGGACATATTGAAAACAATTTTCGACTCATGAAAAATTGCCTAAAATTCACAAATGAATTAAATCCATATCGGTGTCAATTAAATTCGCATCAAGTCAAAAATTATCCTACGCGTCGAAATCAAATAAACGTATCAAAATTTGATTCCGATATGAAAATCAACAATTATGTACAAAGCACCGAATTGGAATCCAATTTCAACACGTTAATTAGAAATTATGAACAATTTACCGGTTTCGACGTATAAGCTTCATGATATTCTCGAATAATTAACCAATTCCACATTTATGCAACATAATTGAATTCAAGAATCAATCAATTTACAACTCAACTCATGCAATTCAATTAAATCTTAAGTCAACTCAAGAATTACAAAAAATAATTGGAATCAAATGAAGTTGATATGAATTACTGAATTGAAGTTGAAGAGTAGATGATGATGATCAAATAAGAGAGATCCCGTGAGTGGAGCTCGGTGGTGTAAAATCAGAGGACCCGAGAGAGTCGGTGGCGCGCAAAATCGGTGCGAGATTAGAGGTTAGGCGGCAGCGGCGATTCGCGACGGAGGGAGTCACCGGCGGTGGTCGGTGTTACAGGTGCGGTGGTCTGATCGGTTCGGGGCATGGCCGGAAATGATGTGTCTGGTCAAGCTTGGTTGATTGAAGGGAGAAGATATGAAGACTTGGAAGTTTTTGTGATTTGTTCTTGAGATTGCGATGAATGTTCTTGGTGTTCTTGAGAAAAGTTGAGAGAGAGTTGAGAGAATTTGGAGAGTGAAATTTAGCAAATGAATCAAGTGTTGTGAAAATAGTGAGGCAAAGTTGATTTATAGTCTTGACAATTGGGCCTTGGTTTGGGCCAAGAGAAAGCTCAATCAATTTCTTCACAAAGATGAATTTCCAATGTCAGCGAATACGGTCGAACGAAAAATCCACAAACTCAATGATAATCGGTGTGTAATCTCGATGTGAGACCAACAACAAAACCGTAGATGACAAAATTTATGATGTAGTGCCGAAAGAATGGACGTGATACAATAAAAACCGAGCGAGTTATGAATTTTTGAGTGAC